TAAAAAAAAAATACTTTTTCAAAATATATTTTTTTTAAGTCTTAGTATAAATATATATACAGTAGTGCCTTGTATAATGAACTTAATCTGTTACAAGCGCATGTCCGTTAAGTGAAAAGTCCATTATACGAAATGCATTTTTCTTTAGAAATATATGTTAAAACATATAATTCATTCTGCAGCATAAAATAACTGTACTGTACCATAAAAAAAAATGAAAATGGAACAGTCACCAATTATGCCAGGTGGTCAGATGTGAGGAGGAGGTGGACAAACACTTTCTTCACACATTCATACAGATACAGACTTTTTATACATTACAGCAGATCTCTTTTTATTGTTTTTTAATTGGAGTCAGATTCAGGAGAGGCTACCAGAGCTTGCAGGGTCAACTCCTCTTGTTCCATCCTTGGCAGCTGGCTTCTTGAAAAACATGCCCTAGGTGGTCTGTTTCTCTCTCTCTTATTCAACACCTGTCGGAAATGACGGGCAAGGGTGTCATTGTAGAGATCATTGATCCTGTTGGCCTCAGCTCTGTTTGGATAATGAGTNGAAAAACATGCCCTAGGTGGTCTGTTTCTCTCTCTCTTATTCAACACCTGTCGGAAATGACGGGCAAGGGTGTCATTGTAGAGATCATTGATCCTGTTGGCCTCAGCTCTGTTTGGATAATGAGTATTGGTAAACTCCTGAACCTCTCCCCATTTGACAACGAAGTTTTTGTCAACTTTCACTCCATAGATCAAAAACGTTAGTTTTTAATAAACTCCCTTGGCAACAAATAAGGTGTTAGTTACTTGATTAACTTTCACTCCTTCTGATGATTTCTTGCTTTGTTTCAATTAAAATCACCTTTTTGTTTTTTTAGAAGCAATGATTTGCACAACACTTGAATAAATGTAAATACCCTGCATTGAGGTGATGTACATAATAAACAAAGGAGCAAGCCGAAACCCAACGGGAGCTCTGTACTTCAGATATATTAATAATATATTCTAATAATACTAATATATTCTAAAAATAGTAGATTGTCATTGGCAACGGCAAAAGAGTGGAAACATCATTCGCAACTTGTTCACAGAAATGTTGTTCGCCTCACGTGACTGCTGAACGTAAAGTCCGTTGTTCGCAGACAGTCCATTGCTTAAGTCACGTAACGGCCAAACAGAAAGTCCATTGTTTGCAGCGTCCGTTATTCGAGGCGTACATTATACAAGGCACCACTGTATATATAAAATACATTCATATATATATATATATGAATTTTATATGAAAGGTGAGTCAAGTCCTTTGTACCCTTTTCATCCAAAATTACTAAAGGTATATTAATTTTCTAAATGTATAGAGAGCCATGCATAGAGAATTGAATGAAACTTTTTGTTGATCTTGATCATTTTCAATTTAGGACTGCATAATTTGCAACTTTAAATTCATAAGGAAAAAAAAAAGTGTTTTAACTGATCTTGAAAATCATTTTCAAGATCAAAAAAGATTTTTTCTGCTTCTCAGTGCATGACTTCCTATGTATCTACATTAACAAAATTAATATACATTTTTGGAATAAAAAGGGTCAAGGGACTTTGAAACCCTGTATATTCATTTTTATTAAGAAAATAATCTTCCTCACGTTACAAGCATTCAGCTTATAAAAACTTATTTACAAGGAGTTTTATTTAATTTTTCTTCAAGTTATGAGCAATTATGAGATGCTTTAATGCTTTTACTAGCACAAATAAGAATTTTCAAGTTTGCTATTTTCAGTAATATTGGCTTTTTGAAGAATTTCTTGCACATGATAACCTTAAAATGATTAACTTGCCTGGAAAAGCCTGCTACCAAGTCCTACCATTCAAGAATCAAACCTGCCAGTGCAAAAGTAGATTCTCATTGCTTGAGTCAATGTATGATGAAAGTGATCTTGCAGTCATTTTTTGTATCAATGATGAGTCCTCTATAAACTTGTATTCTCATTAATCTCATGACTTTCTTTTGTGAATGAGAAAACTTCAAAGAAAGATTTCAATTCACTGAATATGAAATTAAATGTGAAACAAGCTGATTGACAAAAGGCAGTAAAAACAAAAATGTAATGTAAGCTCTCAATTTATCATTTTTGACTACTTGTATATGTTTAAAAAAAAACTAATGGTAATTGTTAAAACTACTGCTGCTTCTTAATGGAAAATGTGAAAAACAAAACATTTGATCATGAAAAAGCTTGAAAAACTGAAGGAACAGATAATTGAAGAAGGTGATGAGATGGGTTCTTTTAACTCTCTCCACATGTGAGTACTAAAAAGATAAAAGGAAATCTTTTCATGTCCAACAAGGGTTTAGTTAGGTCAAAACAGAAGTGGTTGATTGATGCAAGATGTGGTTTGACATATCTGGATCAAATCATTCATGCAAATTTTAGAGTATAATCTATATTTGAAGCCCAGTTCTCCAGAAGACAGACAATTTTAATATAATTTTTTGTCATTTTAATCAAAATAGCTGTTGATTTTGGAGGCTCAAGTATGCTTAAAATTTTTCCTATTTAAATTAATTGTAATTGCATTTTTACTTTATGAGAATTCACTTTAAATTTTCAGGAATGCATTACTCATGTAAGCTAGAAGAAAAGTGTAATTGAAAAGTTAAGTAACAACTCATTTGATCTGTTTTAAAAAATGCTCATAAATGTAGTGATTATATAGTTTTCTATAAAGCCATTACAAAAATTTCAACTTTATTAATTTTAAAGATATTCCTGTGTGTTTAAAAACATAAGTTATGTATCATATTTACATATTGCACATCTAAAACAAAACACTAAACTTTTCCAATTTTTGTTTGAATTTCATAGATCTTACATCATGCAATAAATAAATAAGAGTAAATATAATATTTCTTTTAATAAACTCTGGATAAATGGATTATTATTAAAATTATATAATGTGATAAGCTACTAGCTCATAACTAACATTCATAACCTATATCTGATGATAATATTGATATTACAACCTTTATTTATTTATTTTTATTTTTTTCATGTCTAATATAGTAACAAATAAGTGATTAACTAGTGATAGCAGAATAATTTATATTTATTTTGGATCTAAGTTATTTCATCAATTTTATCAGACAAAAATATTAAAATAAGGAATGTATAAATGTATTTATTATAATAATTTGAAATTATATATATAACTGAATAAATACAATGCTGTAAAGAAACTATCATAGAATTGGAGAAAATGTTAAAAATAAAATTCATACAAAACTTGAAAAAAATTTTTTTTTATTCAAAATTTTGTATGTTTGATAATTCAACAACTGAGGAAAACTTATCAAATTAGATTGAAAGGATTTTTGTTTATTAAAACTTTTTATTGGAGTTTATTGAAGGTGTAAATTATGTTTTTACAATTTGTTGTAAAATGCTTCATGTCCTTTAATTCTTATATTTTCTCTTCTATCAATATAGCTACTAATTTGGCTATTAATGGACTTATCACATAACACTCAAAATGTGAGATTAGAACTTTATTCTTTTAATCAATTTCCATTGTACATTTTAAAGTTTAATTGAAAGAATAAAGACATACATTCTAATCTGATCACATTTTGCTTGTAGTGCAGTGGCATAGCTAGGGATGGATGAAGGTCTGACCCAAGTGGTACTTTTTCAGGCGGTATTTTTGGAATAATTTTTTAAACTTTTTTAATAATAAGAAGAGTAAATTATCAACTATAAATAAAAGAAATAAAACTATTTTTACTTAAACTTAATTTTCAAATTATGTCTAAATAGGTTTGATGTGTATTATGTAAATATAATTGTGTATTTCTGAATGGAAGGGCAGCAATTGACAGACTATCCCAAGCAGCTCAAACTGTAGCTATGCCACTGTTGTAGTGTGATAGGTCCTCATTAATAGCCAATTTGGTAGTTATATAAATAGAAAAGAAAATATATTTTTACACTGCTGTAACCACATTATTGTTACTAGCATGTAACACAATATTATGCCAAAAAGTGGCAGTAAGAAAGCACACCAAAATATAGAACTTGGTTGCCAAAAGTATGGGATGCATTGAATTATTTCTATGTAAAAGATATAAATGCAACACAAAAGCTTTCAATTATGCAATTTTTTCAGATGTATTAGCATTTAACAAATAGTGTTGAAATACAGCATAAATCATTGTGTCATATTTTATTCATTTTATCATTAGTTTGTATTAAACAGTGCTGGCTTGAAAGTTACTTGCACCTGAAGCCAAACCAAAAAATTGTTTTTGCCTTAGGTGTAAGATATTTTAGAGTTACCTTCAATTTCAATTATCTTTGATTACTATAAACTAATAATAAGTGATAAACCCCTCTTCCACAATGATTGCCAACAGAATATACTTCTGGCTGTGGAACTCTTGTATGAACTATTTATGAACAGATTTAAAGTACATTTAAGATACTTCATTGTATTCGGCTAATCGTTATTTATTTATTTTTCTCCTTCTGAACATTTTTGACCACCCATTCTATCACCCTTCTCAGTTTACTGATTAAGATAATCACCTCATCACCCTCAGACCAGTACTGAGACTAATAGCAAATTGAAATTTTAATATTGCAAAAATTCAAATAAAAACAAAATATTTCATGTGTTTTGTTAACTTAACAATATATACAAATTCAACAAAAGACATAAGAAAATTACAAATTTTTTAATTTACTAATCTCATCTACTGTATATATGGTGTATCATTGTATGTATTCTTTAGATGCTTTTTTTTCTCAATTTTAGGATTCATTCTTTTAATAATAAACCTTTTCATGCATTTAAATATAATTTGTTAATTTTCAATTATGACTCTATAAATATAAAATTAAATAATAAGGATAATTAACTCTCTTTAATTATGAAATTTTAATAAAATGAATTAAAACTTGATTAATCATGATAAAAAACTAATAAATGAAAAAATAAAAATTCTAATATTAAAAACTATACCTGATCAATTAATATAGTAAGTGGAGGTCCATTATATTTTTTCACCAAATGAGTAGCATCCCAATTTTTCCATGATTCTGTATTTTCACCGAGATATGCAGTGAAAGCCTTTTTACCCCAATCTGCTTCCACAGGATTACAAATAGGAGCCAAAGCAGAAACACTGCAATATTTTCCAGGATTTTTCAATGCACATATAAGTGCACCATGTCCACCCATGCTATATTAGAAATATATAATTTAATTAACATAACTACTACTGTAATATATTTAAAATTTGGTAAAGATCTAGTTTTCAAATATTTTATTATACCTATGACCAAATATTGACTGTTTATCTTGAACAACAGGAAAATTTTTTATAATAATATCTGGTAACTGAAAATAATTTTAATAAATTACAATATGACAAAATATACTATAATAATATTAAAGCCCAAAATTACTTCTTCTGTCACATAGGAATACATCTTATAATGATTTTTCCATTTATCTTCAGTAGCATTTATATAAAAACCAGCACCTGTTCCTAAATCCCAGGAATCATCTTCTCCTTCAATATTACAACCTCCTAAAAATATATAAATGTACTTTTTTTATTATTGAATTAAATTTTTCATATTGAGTTTGACATTATATAATTGAAAGTTATGAAAATAGATATCATTAAATACTTTAAGTAAGTTATAATAAAAATGTTAGATAAAAAGTATATAATATGTGATAATAAATAACAATTAATAACTGATGACAATTGAAAGCAGATTTAAGTATCATTGACCTTTTAACAATATTTAACTCTTATTTCAAAATTTTATGCTTGAAAAAATAAATAACTTTGTGTTAATGACAGATAATAGTTATTTAATCAGGATGTTATTGTAAGATTTATATCAAAGCTGTTGTTTAATATAGTCAGAAGTTTATGGGATATGACAAAATCATAGGCTTGTGCCAATCAAGAAAAACTATGTAAGTAGGTAATTTATTTTAAAAGATTTTTTATTATGACATGATATGTGTCTAATAAATTTGTGATTGTTGAGTTATGAGGAAGGCCACAATGTTAGATTGAAAATGTTTTGTTAGTGATTGAATGTATTGGGTTGTTCGGAAAGTAAGTTCGTTTTTTTACCACTAGACGGCTTAGTCATATTTTGCTCATCATTTTCATTCTAAACTTTATTACCTATATATATTTTAACAGCTAGCATTTTAAGGCTTATTTGTAAAAATTTTGTTTGATTTTGTGCAATTGTTTATTTTTTGTGTCCTATCAAACATGGAAGATTGAAAGCATCATTTTCGACATATTTTGCTTTTTTATTACCAAAAAATCAAAATGCTGTTCAAGCAAGGAAAAAATTGTGGTACATGTGTGGAGATGATGTGTTGACAGAACGACAGTGCCAAAACTGGTTTACAAAATTTCGTTCTGGCAATTTCAATATTGAAGATGCACCACGTTCTGGATGGCCAGTTGAAGCCAATGAAAACAAAATAAAGGTACTGATTGAAGCAAACTGCCGAATAACAACACGTGAAATCACTAAGAGATTAAATTTGTCAAATTAAACTGTTTATGATTACTTGAAACAAATTGGTTTCTTTTTAAAGTTTGATATATGGGTTCCACCACATGTTCTTAAAGAGAAATGCTCTCTTTGGTGGATTTTAAGGAATTTTTTTTTTTTTTGGAGCTTTTACCAGACAATTTAATAATTGATTCAAAAGTGTACTGCCGTCAAGTAAACAAATTGAGTAATATCATAAAACAGAAAAGGCGGCCAGAATTGATCAACAAAACAGGTGTAGTGTTTTACCACAATAATGTCAAATTTCACACAAGTTTGGTAACTTGTCAGAAACTGTTATAACTTAGATGGGA